GGGGGGTGAGTACCAGAAGCCAGCCTCATAAATGATCTAAATTGCGTTAATGAGAGCTTAAAATATTTAGTCAAGTCCAACGGGTGCAATGGTTGGAAGATGCCACTGCTAGGATCTACTAATCTACTACTTAACCATTCCTGTGTTTTATTTATCTGTGTCTATCTTGTTTGTTTGTTTGTAGGTTTGTTTTTTTCATTTCTCAAAATGGTCATTATTATTGTGTAAATGTATTTCTCTTTTTTACCTAAACCAGAGCACTTTTTTGTGGGATATTCAGTTTGTATTGAAAATGCCACATATGATGATTTAGACTTGTGGGCATAAAGTTTATGCAAATCAATACATGAGCCACTATTTCAGAAAGCAATGTAAAGTCTTTGTTAGCATTTCATGGAATTGAAATCTGCAAGGATAGGACTGTGGAGCTCTGATACACAAGATGAGGGTGTGGAAAACTGAGAGCTTCGAGGAAGAGGAAGAGAGAGTAGCAAAAAAAAATTCCACTGTTTCATTCATCATCATCATCATCATCCTCATCCTCATCATCATCATCATCATCATCATCATCATCATCATCATCATCATCATCATCATCATCATCATCATTGCCTTTCTCACCCTGGATCAGGGTATAGGCCGTGAACAAACACTTTCCACCTTTCCCTATCCTTGGCTAGCCTCTTGATGTTTTGCCATGACAGTTTCATTATTTTGTTGTTGTTGTTTTTTTTTAATATGCAAGGGAGGAATTGTGAAGTGGCTGTTTGTACAGGTGATTTTCTTATACAGGTGGCTGTGAGAGCAAGTATATTGTGATGTTCATGTTTTCGCTTAGAATAAAGAAGTAAAACTTAATGATGATATGTGGGTGGTTGACAGGTGCTCTGGTGTGGTTTGCTCCTTCTTTCCTATCAAACATCTATCGTCCTTGTCTCTCCTCTTTCTTTGTTGTGTATGTTACACTCTTGTAACACATCTATTCTTCGGCACTTATAAGACTTTATTGTGTTGCAAGTGCCGTAAAACTCATACTAAAACTAAAAAAGTGATGATAATATCATGACAGTGAGGTCTCTGAGCTTGTTTTTCCCCACAGGAAATTCAAGAAAAACCCTGGCTGTCGTTACGTATGTTGCGAGACGTACTTCCCCTCCACTACGATATCACAATGTTTCCAGATTTTTACGAAGATGGCGACCGCTTCCACGGAAATGAAACAATTGAGGTAGTGTCACTTTTTATGGTTGATGATATCTCTCTATTTTTGGCCTATACCCTTGATACCCAGTACCATGCTGTATTTAAAAATCAACAAATAAAAAAAAATTGGTTTGCCCGATTGCTTATAACTCGTTCGTTTACATCTTAGTTGAGATGTTTTAGCATGGGTTGTTGCGTCTTGTTTTCAGTAGTTTTCTTATGTAAGACGAACACCAAATAATTATAATAATAATAA